GAGAATGCCTTTGACTGTTGAACGTATTGGGACACTGCATTAGTTCCGTCGTGTTTTAAAGAGACCAACCATCATTCTTGGGCCCTTTTGTTATGACAGGATCTGGCTACAGGGGACCAAGCTGGGGAACTCAGACACGTGGGTGACACTTGTAACCTCCCTACCTCTAGTCACTCTCCTTCCCTTCAACCTGTAGATGCTCACATCTGCTCGGTTCCAGAGAAATGTTGCCGAGTTGGGGGAAGACATTGGACTACATAGTTACGTACCTGGTGGTTTTAGGGTGGGGAAGTTAGACCCTACACCCAAATGCTACCTCTCGCTTACTCACACATTCCAAATGAAGGAACTGAACAACGATCTGAGGAAATGCATCAATATGAGGAAAACATTTTAATTTTTTAATGTAGGCACTAACTTGCCCAGTTTGATTACATACAGACTAATATAGATTACTAGAGGCCCGGTGCACGAAATTCATGCACAGGTAGGGTCCCTAGGCCGGCCAGTGATCAGGGCTGATCAGGGCCTTCCTTCATTTCATGCCGCCCCCTGGTGGTCAGTGCATGTCATAGCGAGCAATTAGTCTCCTGGTGGAACTCCCACAGGGACAATTTGCATATTAGGCTTTTATATATACAGATACCTAGCGTGATGAGCAGGGCTGACTTGATTGAACCAAAGTCTAGCAAAACAAAGAAAATACAGTGTGAAGTTTTAAGGTTTTCAAATAGATTTTGTGATTTTTTTTTTAACTGAAAAATTCTTATTTAAACACATGGGTTAGAAAACTCCTTAGCAAGCGTAGGTTGCAATTCCAGCTGTTGCAGCTGCATCACAATAGCAGACCCAGACACCGGCTCCTGGATGTGTGAGGGATGGAGTGCTGGCCGTTCTTCCGCGTGCTCATGTTCTGGGTGTCGTGCTGTGGAATAAAACTGCACAGCCCCGCTGGCGTTTGGGAACAGGGATCTTGGCCCTCTTTCCCTAGAGAAAGAGCCTTGATCAATATATCACCAATGATTGTTGTCCCGTAAGTACCGGTACTAATGTTTTATACAAATTTTTTAATGGTCAGATTGAATCACGAAGAGTTAACACTATTAAGGACTCTATATTTTGCTTTTGATGAAATCCATTGTGATGCTCTCTACTAACAATGGAAATGAGAAAAGTTTATCACGAGTAAAAAATCTAAGATGTTTCATTGCTCTCAAACATCATCTAATATGCTCCTCTTCGTACAAATGTAATTATTTGGGGATTAAAATATTGCATCATGGTTTATCTGAATTAACTCCCCCCCCTTTGCGACACATTTAAAAATAAACTACCTTATAACAGAGTCATGTGGAGACATAGAATGGGAATTAAACGACGGAAGATAAAGACGAGTCATTGAAATGTTACTTCGAAGGGAAAGATGTACGTGGAACTGTGGTTTGCAATAATTGTTGACATATTCCCCTAAGTACGGTGCCTGCGATTTTTCACCGTATCAGTCATTTAGAGCAATTTGGGTAATAACAGTCTGACATGCATTTCTGCTATTTTATTTACACCATTTCCCTCCATCGCTGTGATGCGGTGCCATTCTGATCGGGTACCGCAAATGCACTCCGTAATACCTATTATGGCGTGGTCAGAGGATAATTTATTGTCAAATAGAAAAATAGGTCAACAGGAATGTCACTGGATGATCAACCCCCACCACGTTTAATAAAACATCTCGCCGGCGTGCGTGCCCGTGCCGCGGCTGCTGTTCTATTAGGACTACCTGGCTCCGGCGGAGGTGTAATTACTGAGCCGTCAGAGTGATAAGTGGGATTAATGGCAGCCCCGTGCACTTTAGGGCTGCCGCACGCTTAGAGAATTGCAAGACGGTGTTATTATCAGAGTCAGCCGATTCCCGGCATATTCATGGCACCGGAGGAAAAAAAAAAAAAGATGCTGCAATCCAGGCCTGCTTCGCCCTGCCTCATTAACATCTGACATTTCCAACAGCTGTTATTTGTGAACTGGCTCCATAATAAAAGGAGAATTATTTGGTAAAGAGACTTAATAACCACAGCTAAAAATGCATACCTCGTGTCAGGGCTGCTGGGGTGAATCTGTTTGGGTCGAATGTGAGATTTTTCTGGAAGCCTAGAAAAACCCACACTGGACACTAAGGTGACTCATTCATTCCTGCTGACATTAGAACTTTGTTTTGTAATTGCCTTATTATTCAAGTTGGGTGGTAGGTGGTGGAGGGGAGGCAGAAAACGTGTGACTTCATTAGGGAGAACTCCACTCCATCTATCTGTTGCTGTATTTCTCCTCAACGACAGGTATTTAAAAAGCTGTTGAAGTGACTTAAAAAAAAATAAATTAGGAGGTATTTAAGATGGCATACGATTGGCTACATTTCCAGCTCTTTTATTTTATCGCATCCTAGGACATCCTTTCAAATCACTGTTAGTGCTCAGCGCATGAATTCACCCGAAGGTAACACAAGTATCGCCTCATTTCGGCGTCGCGGACGAATAGGCCCTGGATTGGGCTATTCTTGCATTGTCGTACGCCGTACGCTGCTGATCACGCTTTCAAGCAATTCTTCTTGAACTCGGCGACATTGTTTTAGGGTGAAAATCACAAGTATGAGAAGATAGGAATGCTGCCGCATGATAGATGTGAATCTTAACAATGCGTTTAGAGACAGGACGGGAGAGAGGCTTAATGACTGCCGCTCGGAGAGGACAATTGATTATGAAAAGCCTTCGGTACTCATTGTGTAGAATTTAATTTAGGGAGAAGGCTGAGGGCACGGGCGAGAGAAAGGAGATCAGATGTAGAAACAAGATATTAATTAGAGACTGAGAAACCGGCTCGGCTAATGAAGACTCTTCCACACACAACAGAAGGACAAGGAGATGGCACTGTCCTCTCCTGGGGAAGGAACCAAGGTCTTCGCACAGGGAAGAGGTTGGAAAAGGAGCTGGCGGTCACCTTTGTCAGTGGAGCCGCGGAGGGTTCGTTCTCAGTGAAATGCTCAGAGAATTCTGGTCTCCTGACAGATGCGACAGGGTGGTAGCTTACGTTTTAGATCGCTGGTCTACTGTTTTCCTACTCCCCCTCTCACTCTGCCAGACCAAATTCCACTGGTTCACGTACCCATCATGTTCTCTTCTCAGGTTCTTGTCTCGAGTGACCCTGAACTCCAAATCCACCCTCCTTCACTTCCCTAATGTCCACTGATTCTTTTTAAAAAAATATATTTTTATTGATTTCAGAGAGGAAGGGAGAGGGGGAAAGAAATAGAAACATCCATGATGAGAGAGAATCATGGATCAGCTGCCTCCTGCACGCCCTACACTGGGGATCGAGCCCGCAACCCGGGCCTGTGCCCTGACCGGGAATCGAACCATGACCCCCTGGTTCATAGGTCGAAGCTTAACCACTGTGCCACGCTGGTCGGGCTCATTAACTATTAAAGAAAAGAATGAGGAAATGAACAAGCTGACATTAGTGTGCGAATTAAAGACGGTTCTTCCCAGTTTCAGTCCGGAAGGAGTCATTATTAATTGTGATTCTCACTAAGTGGGTCCGGCCATGGACATTAGAATCATCTCAAAAGGTTGTTCCCTCCGAAATTCAGGTTCTCAGGCCCACCCTCAGCCTGGCGAGGGCTCCTCTGTGGGCCCTGGGGCATAGGTCAGGCTTCCCAGGTGGTTCGGGGGCACAGGTTCTGAGGTGAGATGGGTTTGCGGGAGGCTTGGCGGACAAGCAGCCTCTGTACAAGAGAGAAGGAGTGGGGATTGGAGGGACAGAGCCCCCACCCGGCCTGCAGTGGGTCCCTGCGGACCTGGTCCCCAAGCGGGGCCAGGCCTGGCCTCGGAGCCCCTCGTGGCCTGTAGCTGCACACGGCCTGCCACGGACAGGGGCCTTGATCTTGGCCGAGCCTGTTCTCTTCATCCAAGGGCACAGCCCTCGAGGGATAGAAGCGTCAGTGACAGGAGGGGGTGTGGGCTGGGCACCCACGCAGCTGCCACAGAGCCCAGTTGCCATGCGAGTAGCGTGTGGGTGAAAGACATGAGGAAATTGGACAGGGAGGGAGGGCCAAAGCCAAAGAAGGGGGGTGAGGGGTTAAGGGAGGAAGGATGCTCCAAGGGGTAGAATGAGGCACGGTACCTCTTGGCTTGCTGTGGTGATTGTGGTGTGCAGGCAGACAGAGCTTTTATCGTAAAAGATTGCACTCTCCAGGGTTACTCGCGTCGTAAGGGAGCAAAACAAGACTGATTTGGTCAATGAGTGAGTGATGGCTCTTTATGTTGTTGTTAATCCTCACCTGAGGATATCTTTCCCATTGATTTTTAGAGAGAGTGGAAGGGGCGGGGGGGAGAGAGAGAGAAACATCCATGTGAGAGACGCATTTATTGGTTGCCTCCCGCATGCGTCCCGACCAGGCTGGGGATCAAGTTTGTGCCCTTGACCAGAATCGAACCCGTGACCCTTCAGTTGAAGGACCCACGCTCCAATCCCTGAGCCACACGGGCCAGGGCAGTGGTCGGCAAACTGCAGCTGGCGAGCCACATGCGGCTCTGTGGCCCCTTGAGTGTGGCTCTTCCACAAAATACCATGTGCGGGCGTGCATGTACAGTGCGATTGAAACTTCGTGGCCCATGCACAGAAGAGCCGCATGTGGCTTGCGAGCTGCAGTTTGCCAACCACTGGGCTAGTGCTGAATGATGGATCTTAAATAAGCCTGAACCCCCAAAACTCTAAGGAGGAACAAGGCGAGCAGGGGTGGTTGTCACCTGCTACTCTATACATCCCTGCAGGTGCGAACGAAGGGAAAGAATATGTTTACTTTCTTGCATAACAAGATTTTGTACCTGAAAGTGGTGCAGTTTTATTTGTCCTCGCTGTTCACTCACTCTGGCGGGGTGTAGGGTAGAGGATGTATAGAACGTCATCTCAGCTACTTGGTAACTTCTCTAACCAGCTGTTTGACTTCCCAGATGCCTGAAGTGTGCAGACGCCCCGTGTCAGAAGAGCTGCCCCACGAATCTCGACATCAAATCCTTCATCACCAGCATCGCAAACAAGGTAAGTTCGGACGTCTGTCTGCAACCGCAACCTCACAGCACCCGTCGATCCAGGTCTCTGATGGGACCTGCGACGAGAGCATGAAGCGTGTCTGGATAGATTGGGTGAAAGAATTGAAAATGTGGTTTCTGTAAGTTGCGGAAATGTGGCGCATTTCATTAGATAGCCCCCTCCATGCCGTGATATGATGCGTGTGAAAATGCAGACTGTTGCTCATCGTCTTATAGATTAGCGCCTGTTGAAATGAGTGATGATTTCATTGACTCGATGGACTCGAGCGTCAGCATGCTCACTGCTTGTAGGTGGGCACTGCCACCGACCATCGCAGCGCGCTTCTAATTGTGAAAAGTCTTTGTTTTAGCGTCTGGCACACAGAGAGGCAGCGAAGGAATGGAGTGGACTGCCCCGTTCTCCTAACATTCAGTTCATTTGTTTAAGACGTGGAGCAAATCAGAGAGGCTGGTAGAGCCGCAGACAAAAACCACCCCCATCACAAACAAGCCGAGCGTAGGAAGCGGCATGAGCAGGACAGAGGAGCTTTGATCTCTTAAGTGCGCTGTTTCGTTTTTTAAATCGATGTAAGGCTAAGCCCAGGTTTCGCCCAGGAAGCGCATGGTGGGTTGATGGAATGATTAACTAATAGCACCTTTTGTTGTGTCTTATCCTTAAACAACGGGCAGAGCCTGGAGGAAGTCCCCCCTAAGGACGCGGAGAATCCTGTCCACAGGCTTCACACGCACGTTCTAAAACGCTACCAACCCCCGTGTGCGGCCCACACCCAGGTGGCTTTCCGTAGATAAAGATCATTTCTCAGTATGTCAATTATCTTTTAAACGATCGATTAGGAGGGAAATAATACATTTATATAGCTGTAGGATTTCAAAAGAATCATTCCTAAGGCTGTTCCTGGGGTAAAGATCATGGTATTAACCTACATCATCAGATTTATTGGGATTTGATATCTAGGTGGAATTTTTAGTTTGACCTCTTAGAGTGAATGTAGGAAAAACTAATCTCTTTACTTTTTAAAAAATATATTTTTTATTGATTTCAGAGAGGAAGAGAGGTGGAGAGAGAGATAGAAACATCAGTGATGAGAGAAAATCATTGATTGGCTGGCTGCCTCCTGCACGCCCCCACTAGAGATCGAGCCTGCAACCAGGGCATGTGCCCTGACCAGGAATCAAAACATGACCTCCTGGTTCATAGGTCGATGCACAACCACTGAGCCATGCAGGTCGGGCTTATCTCTTTAGTTTTATTTATGAAAGATAGTATTTGTCTTACAAGGTCACGGTATACACTGAATAACACTTGTAGGTGAAAATCTCTAACATAGTAATTACTCAGGAAATATTTTGTTGATGTGGAATTATTAATTTCCCTATTCACTCAATATGGTGAATACCATATAAGTAGTTACTACTTTTGTAGTTGTCATTTATTGAATATCTACCGTGTACCATACACACCTGCCTTTTTGTAGTTCATAATCTATGAGCAAGAACATATATGTTCAAAGAATAACCATAATTCAGTGTGGTTAATGTTGCAACAGAGGAAGAGTATTTAGCATTTGAAAAAGCAGGAAATGTGGGCATGTACGTATCAGGTTTAAGAGAAATGTAATAAATTCACTGTGGCTAGGACAGAAACAAGGCCATTGGATTGGGATTAGGTTGTGAAAGAATTTGATTTCTGTGCTCAGTATTTGAGATTTAATCCTGTAGATGATATGAAATGTTCAGTGCTATGTATTTGTTTTGTAACTAATAAGATGGATTCTGGGAAGGGATCTCATTTATGAACTTTGGAGTATCCCAAACTGACATCCTCACAGGAATTTTGTCATATGTGAAAATAAAGGCCTTATGTGAAACATACATAGGCAATCTTTAATTATAACCTCACTAGAAGCCCGGTGCACGACATTCCTGCACTGGAGGGAGGGGGTCCCTCAGCCCGGCCTGTGCCCTCTCGCAGTCCGGGACCCCTCAGGGGATGTCCGGAGTGGCGGGGCCCTTAGCGCTGCTGTGGAGGTGGAAGAGGCTCCCGCCCCTGCCGCTGCCCCAGCGCTCTCCAGCCATGAGCTTGGCTTCTGGCTGAGCAGGTCTCCCCCTGTGGGAGCGCACTGACCACCAGGGGGCAGCTCCTGCATCGAGCATCTGCCCCCTGGTGGTCAGTGCGCATCATAGTGACTAGTCATTCCACCGTTCAGTTGATTTGCATATTAGGGTTTTATTATATAGGATGAGAAAAGGAGTGAAATAAAATGCCCAAAGTTTGAAGTCCAGTATGTGTTGGCTACAATTATACCCGGGGCAGTACTCCTGCCTTCAAGTGTGAGAGAGATTAGAATTATGACCCCGCCTAGCAAAGTCTCCCTAGAACGTCTAACATTCAATAGTGGCTCTGAGATTCTAATAGTGTATGCCCCCTTCATTCAAAATTTAAAAAAAAAAAGACAGGAACTGTGGTCTCCTTCGCCAAGTTTATAAAATGTCTCAGCAAGATCAGAATCCTCTCTAAAGGAAGAAGCGTCCCGTTTGGTTCATTGTCCCCATTTTTTTCCCCCCAAGGAGCGCTGCACTCAGGATCCAGTTCCACGGGTTCCGCGGAGGCGGGGATGTGGAGATACTGATTGGAAAGGAGGTCTTCGCAGGCCTTAAGGAGCCCTTGTAAGCCGTGCGTTGTTGCCAAATCACTGTGGCAATTAGAAGGCCAGAGGCTCTTGCTTTTTGTGAAGAGAGAGATTCATCAGCCTGTGCAGTGTAGGCCCTTCCAGCTCGCTCTGCCGGCCCTCAGCCCAGGCGGGGGCCTTCCCAGGTGGAGAGGGAATGGGGTCCTCAGACTCAGGGGAGCCTTAGTCTCGGGAAAAGGATGCCACCCGCATCGCATCCTGCGGCGTCTGTGATTCAGTGGAGTGGTTAGGCCGGTGCTTCCACCCTTTATCCCCCCCCCCCCCCCCGTTCTGTCCTGCCCACCACCTCCCTAGCCTTGCCCTGTGCCCTCTGTGCGGGGTTGTTGGCGATGGTCTCTCTGCACTGGAAGCTCGCCTCTCAGTCACCAGCCTGGGAGGGCTGGGCTCTGGTTCTTGCTGGTTTTCCTTTGAGCAAACACAGTACTTGATAGAAGAATGCCTGAGGTCAGTCTGTAAGTGCAGGGGGAGGGGGAGTCACTGCTTTAAAAAGGTTTCCTTGTTTGCAATGGAGATTTCAAACAATGGAGATCTTTGTTGTTATTGTTTTTAATGTTAGATGAAACTGGAAAGTGTTGATTTTTTCCACTGATTTGCATATTTTATAGAATCTCTGTGCTTTTGTGTGCCTTTTATATCTAGATAAAGAAATGGAATATACACGTTAGAGAAAAGCTTGACTCCATGACTCCATGTGAGATGGAAGATGCTCTAGCACAGATCCCTAGTGAAAGTAGCCGGCAGAGTTTATTGTTGTATCAGTAATACTTGTAAGAAGCTTCTGAAAAATAAGACAAAGATCCGCCATATCAGATATTGAAATTCCCGATAAGGCTCCTCTACTCAAAACAACGAGGTGCTGGTGGAAGGATACACATTTCTGGAGCAGATGAAAGTTTGTAAATAGAACCAAGTGAATATTGTTATGCCCAGATTCCAAGATTCCCAAGAAATCACATTAGGGAGCCAATTCGATGCAAAAGCATAAGAATCTGTATTTATTTCAAGCTAGCTTGGGCGCAGACACACCGACACAAAAGCAATCCACGTGGCTGAGCGCCCCAACCCCGTCTCAGGACGGGTTATATAGGGTGGGGGTTGGAGTAAGGGGAGGAGAAAGAACTGTGCTCTGCCGCCTGGGTGTGGCTAGCAGAGTAGGACGTAGCCCCTACCCTGGGGCAACCTAGCCCTCGCCCTTTCATTATGAGAGCATAATATATATAATGAAGAGGACTTTCCAATTCGACGGACTGATTCCACCATTGCTAGAGGCCCGTACTGGGCATATTTTAATAAATGGTCTGGTGGCGGTCAGGCCATCAGATGAATGTTATCTGGACTTACTTTTACATATAAAAATAAACATAGTTAAGGATCATTTTGAAGCTCCAAACTAAGTGAGAGCAAATTTTGCGGTGCACATTTTAAAACGTATTTTTGACATAATAACCAACCAAACATGAAGCCAAGTGAAATTTTTTTGCCATGCACGTGTGAGGCTAGCTGGCAACTTCTCTGTTCATCAGAGGAGTTCCTGAAAATGTGAATGAGATTAATAAGCCAACCCAGGCGATGCAAGGGCAAAAGCTACACCCATTATAGAAGAGGCGATACAAGTGATTAATAATGACATTAGAGGTGTCCTCCTATTGCTCAGAAGTATTAGTACGCCAGTCAGAGGATGGGACGCCAGTTTCTCCCCATCCGATTGTTAAAGTCAAAATGTTCAGTAACCTCTGTGCCGTTCAGGAGGAAGAAAACAGGAAGTCTCTACTGTGGGAAAATGCTTGGCTCTTGCGAACATTTCTATACTCTTGTGCCAGAAATGCTTTACTATTTGTCCTTCCGAGAGAAATAAAAGTACCACCGTGTAATAGCCTACGCACAGGAGCAGTGATGGTAGCAATTGTAGGATTGTTTGGAAATAGCAGAAAACTCAAGACAACTAGAGTGCCCATCATTTAAAAAAATTGCCAACTCTGTTACACTATATTTTATAGACTGTTATGACTATGTTTTAGAAATGTATTGCTGTTATATTTATTGATCTAGAAGTATATCCTTAGTAAGTGAAGAAGAGTAGGCGGCATCTTAATATGAAGAGCGTGGCTCTCTCTTTAGAAAAAATTCCAACTTATATATAAGCTGAACCTGGACTAGAAGGATTTAATTTAAACTTAATCTCCTTCATTGATTGAGGTTGAGGGAGGGGAGGAGAGAAGTTATTAGCATGTTTCTTAGAAAGCTCCATATTATTATGCTTCTACAATGAGCATGTCTGTTTCTAGTAAAAATAATACGG